CCCACCCCACCACCACCGCGTTGGTGTTGCCGTTCAGGCGAGGTGACGCTAGATCCGGACACGGCGCATCCCAACCTGGTTTTATCGGAAGATCGGAAAAGCGTTCGTTTCGTGGAAGTTCGACCCCGGGATTTACCCGACACCCCGCGACGTTTCACCATCTACCCCTGCGTTTTGGCGGCACAGGGTTTTACCTCCGGTCGTCACTACTGGGAGGTGGAAGTTGGCGATAAAACCCACTGGGCTCTCGGTGTTTGTAAGGATTCGGTGAGTCGGAAAGGGGAATTAACGCCGTTACCGGAAACGGGATATTGGCGGGGGCGGCTTTTGGACAGCGATATACGCGGCCACCACCACCCCCTTCACGCCGCTGACGGTGCGGGTGAAGCCCAAGCGCGTGGGGGTCTTCGTGGACTACGAAGCCGGGAAAGTGGCTTTTTATAACGTCACCGATCGCTCCCACATTTACACTTTCACTGATACTTTCACCGAAAAGATTTGGCCGCTTTTTTATCCCGGTATCCGTGCCGGTAGGAAAAATGCGGCACCTCTCGTTATCCGTTCGCCTACGGATTGGGAGTGAGGGGGTGAACGGCGCCGGCGGGGCTTGGCTCGGTGATATCTGGCAGCGCCGGGATCCGGTGCTCCGGCGCTGCTGGGGTTTGGTGCTCCGAGGTGCTGCTGGGATCCGGCGCTCCGGCATAGACGGGATTTCACTCTCTGGTATCCGGCACTGCTGGGGCTTGGCTCTCTAATGACCGGCACCACCGGGATCCACTGTTCTGGCACCGCTGGGGTTTGGCTCTTTGATATCTGGCACCTCTGGGATCCGGTGATCCAGTGCTGCTGGGATTCGGCTCTCCGACATCCAGCACTGCCAGGCTCTGGCAATCCGGCGCCACCAGGATTTGGCTTTTGGACATCCAGCACTGCCAGGATCTGGCGCTCTGGCACAGACAGGCTGTGGCTCTCCGATATCCAGCACTCCGGCACCTCTGGGATTTGGCTCTCCAACATCTGGCACCTCTGGGATTTGGCTCTCCAACATCTGGCACCTCTGGGATTTGGCTCTCCAACATCTGGCAACTCCAGG